GAGAGAGAGAGAGAGAGAATCTGTTGCCTCCTGCACTCACCCCAACCCGGGCCAGAGATCGAACCTGCAGCTCAGGTACATGCCCTTGACCTGGAATCTAACCTGTAACCCTTTCATACTTGGGCCAACATGCTAACCACTGGCCAACAACATCCAGGGCTGGAATTATACATTTTTAAAAGAGTAAAATCTCGCCCTGGCTGGTTTGCCTCAGTGGACAGAGCGTCGGCCTGCGGACTAAAGGGTCCCGGGTTCGACTCCGGTCAAAGGCACATGCCCGGGTTGCGGGCTTGATCCCCAGTGGGGGGGCATGCAGGAGGCAGCTGATCAATGATTCTCATCATTGATATTTCTCTCTCTCCCTCTCCCTTCCTCTCTGAAATCAATAAAAAATATATTTTTAAAAAAGAGTAAAATCTCTAGTCTGAAGATTATCTATATAGTATATATAAAAGGCTACTAGTAAGTGTTCGTCCATCCAACTGGTCGCTATGATGTGCACTGACCACCAAGGGGCCATTTAAAAATAAACAGCACCATGGGCCTGGTTCCAACAAACAAACGCTTGACTTCCCCCAAGTGCGACACAGGCCCTGCCAGAGTGACACCCCACCAAATTGCAGCCAATGCTGCCAAGACCCAATGTCACAAAATGCAGCCCACAGCCCAGCCCAGCCCCCCAACCCACCTGGGAAACAGTCGCTGTGGGCGCTGGGTAATGACGTCACGTAGCAACGCCCGGCTTTCTCTCCTGAGCGACTAGCTTCCTTGGAGTTTCTTCAGCCCAGGAACCTGACTTGCTTTATAGCCAGGGGCAAACATTCTACAGTTTAACCAAATGTCTGTGAAGCATTTTCCTGTGCCTCATCCCATTTGATCCTCACAGAAGTCCTGGAGTAGGTAGACAGGAGACTCGGTAGAATTCTATTTTCTTTTATTTTTAAAAATATATTTTATTGATTTTTTACAGAGAAGAAGGGAGAGGGGTAGAGAGTTAGAAACATCAACGAGAGAGAAACATCGATCAGCTGCCTCCTTCACGCCCCCTACTGGGGATGTGCCCACAACCAAGGTACATGCCCTTGACCGAAATCAACCTGGGACCCTTCAGTCCACAGGCCAACGCTCTATCCACTGAGCCAAACCGGTCAGGGCCTATTTTCTTTTCATTAGCAAGATGTGAATAGCGATATTAAAATATTTCTTCTAATTAATTTCCTTTCCATGTGCACGAATCCGTGCACCGGGACACTAATATCTCAATTAAAATAAAAAGTATTCATACACTGAGATCTCCCCCGTGCCCAGGCCGGGTGGTCAGCCTCGGGGCCAGCCCACGGTTCTACGGAAAGCAGCCTGGACCTCCTTGTTCCGCAGGCAGTAGATGACAGGGTTGCACATGGGCGTCACCACCGTGTAGATGACAGACAACACCTTGTTGAGATCCATGGCTTCGATGCGGCTGGGACGGGCATAGATGAAGAGAGTGGCCGAGTAGAAGATCCCCACCACCGCCAGGTGGGAAGCGCAGGTGGAGAAGGCTTTGCGGCGGGCGGTGGCGGACGGCATGCGGAACACCGCCCTCCAATGGCCACATAGGAGGCGCCGGGCCACCAGGAGGAACCCCAGAGGATGACAATGGCGGAGATGAAGTCCACCAGCTCGGTCAGGGCCACGTGGGTGCAGGACAGGTTGAGCAGAGGGGAGACGTCACAGAAGAAGTGGTTGAGGACGTTGGGGCCGCAGTAGGACAGGCTGGCGATGCACGAGGTCTTGACCACCGAGACCAGCAGCCCGCCCAGCCAGGAGGCCACGGCCAGGCCCAGGCACACCTGGGGCCTCATGAGCAGCGGGTAGCGGAGCGGGTGGCAGATGGCCGCGTAGCGGTCGTAGGCCATGGAGGCCAGGAGGGTGCACTCGGTGCAGATGAGGGTGATGAAGAAGAAGAGTTGGGTCATGCAGGCCGCGAAGGGCACGTGGCAGGGCCCGCCCCGCAGCCCCGCCAGCAGGCTGGGCGTGGTCACGGACACGTAGCACATCTCCAGGCAGCTCAGGTGGCCCAGGAAGAAGTACATGGGCTTGTGGAGCTCGCTGTGAGCGCAGATGAGGTAGACGATCAGCGTGTTCTCCAGGAGGGTGGCCAGGTAGAGGGCCAGGAAGACGGCAAACAGGACGTCCCTTACGTCTGGCCTCGTGGACAAACCCAGCAAGACAAACTCCTGTACTCGGGTCAGGTTGCCCAGCTCCGGGAGCCTCTGCATCTGAGAAAAAAAAAATACACCCATAAGGCCTAGCCAGTGTAGGTCAGTGGTTACAGCATCAGCCCTCCATCCAAAGGTTGAAGGGTTCAATTCCTGGTGAAGGGCATGCACCAGGGTTGCAGGTTTGATCCTTGGCCCTGGTCTGGGCGCGTGCAGGAGGCAACCAATCGATTTGTCTCTCTTATATCAGTCTCTCTCTCTCTCTCTCTCTCTCTCTCTCTCTCTCTCTCCTCACTCCTTTCTGCTCTCCCTAAAAATAAATGGAAAAAATATCCTTGGGTGAGGATTAACCCTAAAAAACAAACACACCATAAGATATGTTGTAAATCTCCCTCTCTACACCCAGCATCGCCCTAGACCCAGGCATTGTCTCACCTGAGTCCATGAAATAACCGTATCTGGTTCCTCTGCTCCCACCCTCGCCCTCCACAGTCCTGATCCATGTAGCAGCCAGTGGGGTCTTTCAAAATAGCAGATCATATAGGGCCAGTCTCCTGATTAAAATGGTCAGATTTCCCCATTATTTTTAGAATGAAC